AGAGCCCAGCAGGTCGAGGCTGCAGTGGCCGGGAGTGGCCACTGCACTCCAGTCTGGGCAACAGAGTGAGACTCCAACTCAAAAAAAAAAAAAAGAAAAATTTTTTTAAAGTGAGCATGAAAGAAGACAGGCTGTGAGCTGCTGAGGGAGTTGGTGCCTCAGGAGGAAGGGATGTTGGGACACCTCATGGCAGACATAAGACTAACCAGCCTTGAAAAGATAGGAGTGAAGGAGAGGGGGCACATGCTGAGCAGATCTGTGGAGAGCGAATATGCAGTCACAGGCAGAAGGCACCATACCTCAAACGGTGCAGTGACAAGTTCCTGTCCCCAGAGTGCAAGGAACGTGGCCCTGGAGGCCTACCTCATCAAGCCGCACAGCTATGTGGGTCTGACCTGCACAGCCTTCCAGAGGAGGGAGATCGGGGTACCAAGTGCACAGCTGGGTGGCCCTGGCCACAGCCCCCCGTCTGAGCCCGAGCCCTTGGCTGACCAGCAGCTCCGCTTCCGCTGCACCACCGGGAGGCCCAACATTTCTCTGTCTTCCTTCCATATCAAGGTGGGCACTGGGGGAGAACAGTAGGGAACGGGAGATAAGGGTGCCTGGTGGTGGGGGTGGGTGGAGTGGAAGAAGGGAGAGGTGGAGGGAGGGGCTGGAAGACATCTGAGCCCTGGGGGTCCTGGTGTCTCTGAGGAGCTGCTGTATCCCCCCAGAACAGCGTGGCCCTGGCCTCCATCCAGCTGCCTCCCAGTCTGTTCTCATCCCTTCCGGCTGCCCTGGCTCCTCCAGGCCCCCCAGACTGCACCCTGCAACTGCTCGTCTTCCGAAACGGCCGCCTCTTCCGCAGCCATGGCAACGCATCCCGTCCTGGAGGCACTGGGCCCAGCAAGAGGCGAGGCGTGGCCACCCCTGTCATCTTTGCAGGAACTAGTAAGAAGCTCCCCTCACTGCCTGGGAGGCCTACGTGTCTGTCCTATGCCCCTGCCCTTGCTCACAGCCCCCCAGGGCCCCAGTGGAGGTGGCAGAGGATGGTGAGTCCCTCACCATTTCCCAAGAGGGGGGCAGAGGTACCCTATAAAGCAAGGAAAAGGAGAAAAGGCTCAGGTAGACACTGGATTTTATATCCCAGACTTTTCAAATTTCAAGAGGGCCATAAACACGAACCTTCAAGCCTTTCAACACACTTCACACGCGCACACACACACATACACACACACACACACACACACACACACACAGCTACACAATCGAGGCAGGCACGCAATGCTGAATGGGCTTCTGGGAACTCAGTGCTCTGTGGGTGCTGGAAGGAATAAAAACGTCTAGGCCATGGTCCCCACCCCCTCAGAGGCCACTGTCTCACTGGGCAACAGAAGGGTGAGCTGACCTCCCAGGGCACCTTTGGGAGGGGTCCAGGAGGCTTTGCACAGACTGCCCAGGTGAGAAGCCTTCTAGAAAGACAAGATAACTCAGGCCATTGAAGACTGAGGTGGGACTGACACGGATGGGCCTTGAAGGATGACCAGGATTTCCAGAGACCCCTGGGAAGGTGGAGACCAGGGTGGGAGGAGGAACAGTGTAAGCAGAGGTGTGGCAGGTGAGAGACTCTGTGTGTCAGACTCACCACTCAGCTGGGCCTGGCCTGGGAATGAGATGGCTCACCCACTGGCCTTCTCACTGTGCCCCGTCACCACCTAACACATGCAGACCTTCTCCCAGATCAGTCACCCACACCTGCCTTTTTTTTTTGTAATTCTGCTGTGTCTCCCATATACAAACTGACACCAGCCCAGTCTGGCCCTGTCCCCGGCCGTCATAGCCTCCCCTTGGACTTCTGTTTGCCAGGTCTCTCTACCTTCAGTTCATCTCACACACTGTCACCAGATTCACCTTCTGAAGTGTCACTTTGCACACCAGAGAGCCCCTCAGTGCTTGCTGTCATCAGAATATCTGCATTCCTCCATGTGCCATCCAGGGCCACGCAACGTGTCTCTACCTTCTTCACACAGCCAGGGGCTTCGCTGCCCTATCCATTCCCTTCCTGTTCTAGCATAGACGCTCACGTGCTGACCAGGGATACTTACTGAGGCCTGATGTGTGCCAGACCATGCCAGGGCTGGGACCCAGCTGGGCACAGACGGCTGTGACCTTGTCCTTAAGGAGGACACGCTCCAGCAGGGAGGACAGGCAATGAACAAGTCATTGTATGCGAGCCACTGCACGAGATGTCTTGGAGTAAGCAGCACAAGGGACTTAGGCACCAAGGACAGTCCAACCTAGTCAGGGGCCAGGGAAGCCTTTCCCAAAAGCCACCAAGACTTGAAGGACAAGTAAGAGTTGCCCGAGGGAAAGCACAAGCTTCTCATGAACATTCGTGTGGGCTGTGGGCATGCGTGGGCAGAGGCGCGTGGTGGAGGGTCTGGGCAGTCCGGGGCCCAGCACATTCCCTCTGCTGAGTTCTTCTCTCGCTGGATGCCTCCTCCTCATCTTCCCTGTAGCCCGCCTCTGACTCCTCCCCTCATGTGGCTGCTGCCCCCTCATCTCAGCTTCTGCGTTCTTGTCCTTGAGCCCCCAGCCTCGTCCTTTCCCTGGAGCACCACTCACTCACTACTCACTTGGCCTAGGCGGGCCATCTCCCAGGGCTCACATTCTCCCTCATCCTTCGTGCTTATCCCTTTCCCATCTCCCCGGTTAGACTGAGGCCCTACTTGGCATCTAACTGTACCCCATGCCTGGCACAGTGCCCTGCCCACGCTCTCACTGTGGCTGCTGCTTAGTCCCACTGAGCCAGTCCCATGATGGTCCTGTATGCATCTGTGTGGATGTCCCTCTCCCCCCCAGGTGGCTGTGTCGTGGGAAACCTGACTGAGCCAGTGGCCGTTTCGCTGCGGCACTGGGCTGAGGGGTCCGAACCTGTGGCTGCTTGGTGGAGCCAGGAGGGGCCCGGGGGACCTGGGGGCTGGAACTCGGAAGGCTGCCAGCTCCGCTCCAGCCAGCCCAACGTCAGCTCCCTGCACTGCCAGCACTTGGGCAACGTGGCCGTGCTCATGGTGGGTATCCAGGGCACTGAGAGGTGGGAGAACAGGAGCAGGGAGGTGTGGAGGGTGAGGGCAGTATATGAGAAACACTGAAAAGACAGCAGCCTTGTCAGGCCTCATGACAGACAGAACTCATGGAGAAATGGCCCTCTGGTCCCTCCCACACCTCGCTATCTTTCAGGAGACAGGGAGGTCCTGCCTCCACACCTACATCCAGATAGATGGATCTGGAAATCCCCAGCCTGACCTGCACTTTCTGAGATCAGATTCCTTTTTTGGGGGGGGGGGTCCAGAGTCTCACTCTGTCACCCATACTGAAGTGCAATGGCACAATTATGGCTCACTGCAGCCTCGACTTCCTAGGCTCAGGCGATCCTTTTGCCTCAGCCTCTGGAGTAGCTGGGACTGCAAGTGTGTGCCACCATGCCCAGCTTATTTTTTATTTTTTATTTCTGTAAAGACAAAGTCTCGCTATGCTGCCCAGGCGGGTCTCAAACTCCTGGGCTCAGGCAATCCTCCTAACTTGGCCTCCTCACTCTACTTAGCTGAGACCAGATTCTTAAAGTGTAAAAAAGTAATCTGGGAACATTTCTCCTCTTGCCAGTCATTCTCCTCACCCCCAGCTGTCCATCTTCCTCCTCATTGCCTTCTGTACCCTGCTCTCTCAGACACTGAGCAAGCATGAACTGCATCATAGGCAGAACCCTCTCCCTCTTCCCTCTTCTTTGTTTCAGGCTGGGGATGGGAAAAATCCCCAGGAAGGCAGGACAGTAGGAGAGGACAGGCAGGCACTAACTCGCTCCCCGAGGCTGTCTTTCTAAGAGTGGTCATCCCGATACCCACGTGCCTGCCTGCCTGATTGCTCTAAGCACCAAGCTCAGGACCAAGGCCGCCAGGGCCTGGGAAGGGAACGCTGGTGGGGGACGGCATGGTGTCCACATTGCTTACTTCCACCTTCCTGCCCTTTCCCAGGAGCTGAGTGCCTTCCCCCGGGAGGTGGGGGGCTCGGGGGCAGGGCTGCACCCCGTCGTGTATCCCTGCACAGCCCTGCTGCTGCTCTGCCTCTTCTCCACCATCATCACCTACATCCTTAACCACAGGTGGGAGCTCCTGCCGGAAGGGGGGGCAGGGCAGGGGGGAGGGACGCAGTAAGGACCGGCCAGTGTTTCTTTCTCAGGTGGCTCCCCATAACTCTCCCCAGCTTGTGCTCATTTGAAGGTTCTGGGGCTGGAGATACATTTGGAGGGCTAAGGACTCCCTGCCCTGTGGCCTCCGTGACATTCACACACATATCTGCCTCCCGCCCCTTTGGCTCCCCAGTGGCCCTGAGACCCCATGGGCCTGACCTGGGTGGGGGCCCATTCATTAAAGACTGTTTCTGGGACAGCTCCATCCATGTGTCCCGGAAGGGCTGGCACATGCTGCTGAACCTGTGCTTCCACATGGCCATGACCTCCGCCGTCTTCGCAGGGGGTATCACACTCACCAACTACCAGATGGTCTGCCAGGCGGTAAGCAGAAAAGGGACTGGGGTAGGAGGGGACAAGGTTTGTGATGGCAGCCTAAGCACACAGTAGGGAGAAGCACTGGAAGAGGCTTGTGTAGGAGGCCCCGGCTCCACTGTTCTCTTTGCCAGGCGCGGGAGGCAGGGGTGGGGGCATGGAGAGTTAGAGGGGGCGGTAAGAACCAGACCAGAGAAAATGGGAGGTAGCTTCAGAGTGGAGACGAGGTTCCTGCGTGAGGGAGAGGTCAGGGGTCAACCAGAAAGCAAGAACAGGGTCAGAAGCTTGGCAAGTGGAGTGGGCTGGGTACAGCGACAGAGCCACGGGGTTGGGAGCTGGAAGCCTGGGAACAGGGGAGAATGATGTGGGCCTGAGGCTCTGGGAGACCCAGTCGTGGCACCCAGGTACCCCAGCCTCCCTGCCTTGACCCCGCAGGTGGGCATCACTCTGCACTACTCTTCATTGTCCACACTGCTCTGGATGGGCGTGAAGGCCCGAATCCTCCACAAGGAGCTCACCTGGAGGGCGCCCCCTCCACATGAAGGGGACCCTGCCCCGCCTGCTCCTCGTCCCATGCTGCGGTACCGCTTTCAACTTTCAGCTTTGCAGTGGGGGAGGACTGCGAGGCGCGTGTAGGAACCCTCCCAGGGTGGGTGCGGGTTCCAGATCACTCTCCAAAGTCAGAAGAGGCCAGGCCCTAGACGCAGCCAGGTCACACAAGACCATGGAGTTGGGTGCATCTTGTGGGCTTTTCAAGCATGACAAGCCCAGGGAAGGAGGTGACTCCAGAGGTCACTGGGCAGGGATCCTGGGAACCTGAGTGGCACTCCTGACTTCTGCACTGTGTAGGTGAGAGAGACCGACTCTGGCCTCTGTCCTTAGAACAGTGTTGTCTCTGCAGGGGTCTTGTATCCCCATCCAAAAAAAACCAAACAAACACCTGACAATTTAAAGGGGAAGAAGGATGGGACAGAGATTCCCAGGTAAGGGTTCCAAGCACCTGGTTCTTCCCTTGCCCTTCCCATCTCTCTGACCCCCAAACCGTGCTCCCTTCCAGGTTCTATTTGATCGCTGGCGGGATCCCACTTATCATCTGTGGCATCACAGCTGCTGTCAACATCCACAACTACCGGGACCACAGCCCCTAGTGAGCGCCCTCCCTCCTACCCCAAACCTACCCCCTTGGCACCGATGCCATCTGCTCCACTGCCAGGTCCATCCAAGCCATGGTCCCCGCCCCCGCCCTGCATGTTGCTCAAGCCAGGCTTTGCCGCTCTGCTCACTGTATCCAGTTGCTCTGACCACCGGTCATGGGCCCCTCAGGCGCCCCTCCTCATCGCCACCTCTGTCTCGTCTTAGCTGCTGGTTGGTGTGGCGTCCGAGCCTGGGCGCCTTCTACATCCCGGTGGCCTTGATTCTGCTCATCACCTGGATCTACTTCCTGAGCGCAGGGATGCGTTTACGGGGTCCTCTGGCACGAAACCCAAAGGCGGGCAACAGCAGGGCCTCCCTGGAGCACGGGGAGGAGCTGAGGGCTTCCGCCAGGTTCCGGAGCAGCGGCCCCCTCCTGAATGACGCAGGTTCCCTTCTGGCTACCGGGAGCGCGGGGGTGGGGACGCCCGGGTTCCCGGAGGACGGCGACAGCCTCTATTCCCCGGGAGCCCGGCTGGGGGCGCTGGTGACCACGCATTTCCTGTACCTAGCCATGTGGGCCTGCGGGGCTCTGGCCGTGTCCCAGCGCTGGCTGCCGCGGGTGGTGTGCAGCTGCCTGTACGGCGTGGCGGCCTCCGCCCTGGGCCTCTTCGTCTTCTCTCACCACTGTGCCCGGAGGAGGGACGTGAGGGCCTCCTGGCGC